ATAAAATTGCTAGCGATCACAAAATATAAATATATAGCAACTCGAGCACGTCAATAAAATAGTACATAATAAAACAACGATTAATTAATTATCATCAAAAATAACTTATAATCACGAGTTACACTAAAGAAAAAGAGACCAAAAAGTTTTTTAAAATAGAGAAGATTAAAAAGGTAAATGACACTACATTAAATCAAAAAATAAAAAGGAGAGAAGATGGAAAAAAATTAATTGAAATAAAAGGTGCAATTTAAAAAAAAATGCTGCCAGAAAGAGTCGACCTCATGACGAGTAGGTAAAGAACCAAAGCAGCCACTAGTATTCTTTGTTAAGTGGTTGCTTATTTATATTTTATTATATCCGTTTCTTCATATTTTCTCTATAGATATAGAAAAAATTTGTTGGAGTCGATGGGTGCTCGAGCACCCGAAATGCTCCACGTAGATATGCCCTTGGTTGAGTGCTACTTATATCTCTTATCAATATTAGTATTAGTAACTTTCCTACTATAATGTTCTTTGATTTTACAATTACTTTATTGTTTTCATTGATTAATTTATCATACTATTTTGTGGTTACAATTGTTTTTTCTATGTGATTTTCTATATGATTTTTTTAGTACTATTTTTCTTTTCTTATTGATTTTGATATGCTTCGTTTAAGCCGACAGTCTATTGGAGACAATATGTCTACCTTCACAAAGTAGGGGTAAAGTCATATATACACAATCTTCTTAGACTTCCACTTGTAAAATTACACTAAATATATTATTGTTGTTATTATATATATAACCAATTAGAATTATACTAAATTAATGTAAAATTTAAGAACCATCCGCCAGTAGTGTATAACTAATATACTCTATTTGTCTCAATTTATGTGGCACTTTTCATTTTTTCGAGAGTCAAACAATTTAAGTTTGACCAAGCATTTGCATAAAGAATCTTCGAATTTATTAAAATGAAATTTATATATTTGTAAACTACGTAAAAAGTACCATAAGTCAAAATAATTGAGAATTTAAAATATTTTTAAAATAAATGAAAAATTTACTGTCAAAGATAGACTTGTTTGAATCTCAAAATCTGAATAGTGCCACATAAATTGGGACAGAAAAAATAATTATTTATGATTGCAAGAGAAAATCAGGCGAACTAAAAGATCTTAGTAGCTAGAGGAAAAGAAAGCAAAAACGATTCCCATAGCAGCAGGCGAAATGGGAGCTTTCTAAACCGTAAGAACGGGGTTGCAACCTCAAAAGGAGGAGGTAAAACTTTTACCCTTCTTTTTTGGTCAATAATCTTGGAACTATTTGACAAATTAACGGATTTGAAATGAGTTTTAATGATTTTGTCTTTTATTAGTAATTAATTGAAAGTAAATAGAAATAAAATATATATGTTAACTCGCTTCATCTCATATTAATTATCAAATTTCCCTTTCACACCCCTTTCTAAAAACTCATAAATAAGAAGTATTTGCTCCATTTTAATTTATTTATGTATCTATTTTAACTTGATACAATATTTAAGAAAATAAATAATATCTTTTAGTTTTATGGTATAAAAATAAAGATATATAAAATGTGTTAAATTATCTTTTAATTATGTACAATGTTAGAATTAAAGAATTGCTAAAAAAATATATTCCTATTTAGACAGACAAAAAAAACTAAAGCTAACAAATAAAATAGATAAAATATATGTTTTACTAATTTACCCTTCATTACCAATTATTAGTATTTTTTACTAATTTACCCTTAATTATCAATTATTAGTGTTTTTACTAATTTACCCTTAATTACCAATCCAATATAGGAGTAGGACCAGCAGTACTATGTGGATAAAAAAGAGAAACATAATAATTAGTCATAATTACGACCACCAAACATTCCTTTTACCATTATTTTCTTTCCTGTTGAGTGACAATATCAAACATACATTGTATCATGCTAATGACCTGTTTGACCATAGATTTCTGAAGTAAAATTTGAGGAAAAATTTAGTAAAATAGTATTTGTTCATATAATTTGTTATTATTTGGTAAATATTTTTGATAAATAATCCAAATTCTCAAATACTAGAAAAAAAAACTAGTATTTGGGCCAAGTCTCATTATTTGAAAACTTTTAATAATTCAAATTTTACATCAAATTTTTATCTTTTTCAAGAACACCCTCTATAGTATTTGTTTGTGTTGTTTTACATATTTTTTTACGTGAACATTAAAGTAGTGATGAAATATTCAATGAATATGAAAATGATGATATGGTTGTTGATGAAAATGATGAACAATCGGCTTAGGGTAACAAAGTCATGTGTTATGTAATACAAACATATGATAGTTTTGATAGTTTTTAGTAAAACTTATTGGTTTAAATCAAATTTCTTAAAAAGGTGAAATATATTTCCCAAATACTATGGCCAAACATATGCTGAAATTTCACTCAAATAATATTTGCCCAAAATTTTGGAAATTTATGGTCAAACGCTAGCTAAATTTCTTCCTTTTTGATTCACTTCATATTTGATTGGACACAAAATTTAAGAATATACTTTAAAATAGTTTGAACTTTAATTTTTTATTCTTTTCTTGATGGTATATATATATATATATATATATATATACAGTTATACAAAATATCATGTCATATTCAAAATTAATTTTCATTTCTTTTTATTTTTTGGTATCCAATAAAATAATGAAACTACTAAATAATTAAAAAAGGAGAGTGTATTTATTAATGGAAAATTCATGTTAGTGAGACATAATAAATAAATTTGGTTATTGTGAATGAAACAACAGCGCCCATGGCCTAATGGATAAGGCGCTTGACTTCTAATCAAGCGATTGTGGGTTCGAGTCCCACTGGGCGTGATTTTTTTTTCCGTCTAAAAATTCCTTCATTTTCTTAAACTTCGTATCTAGTAAAAAAACAGATATAAATCGAAATAGAGGGAGTAGTTAAATTAGTTTGTTCGAGATTAAAACATAGTTATTTTTTATTATTTTCCCTCTTCTTTTACTTGGATTGATGCACTTGAGTCAACTGCCTTTCAAAAACAGTCTCTATACCTCGCACAAGATAATGGTAAGATCCGAGTACGCTCTACCTTCCTCAACCCCACTTAGTGAGATTTCACTAGGTATGTTGTTGTATCATTCTCCCTTTATCATACTTTATGTGATATCAAAATTTTATAATTATATGAATGCCATTATATCTTTAAAATAGATTAAAAAAAAGAGCAACTTTCACATAGAGCAAACATAAAAATCATATTTGTATGTTATAACTATAGTTTGCATAATTGCGCTCCATAGCAAACTTTTCGCTATACGTATATACAAAAGAAGCTGGCTATTTCGCTATACATATATACAAAAGAAGCAATTGTATAATCTGTTTCGTTATACATATACAAAATAATCAATTGTATAATGTGTTTGTATAAAGCGAGAAAGAGAGAAAGACAAAAGGAAATTGGGCAGGGAAAGATTGTATTTGTATAATCATAAGTGTATAGGATGAAAATATATGCATTTGTATTTGTATATACAATTTTCTCTCTCTTTATACAAACACAAACGCAATGTATACATTTGTGTTTGTATAAAGTGAGAGAGGCGAGTGAGAGTGGCGAGCGAGATCTGGAAGAGGGGAGAGAGGGGAACGAAAATATATGTATATATACAATTTTCTTTCGTTTTATACAAACACATTTTATACATTTGTGTTTGTATAAAAGCGAGAGAGGCGAGCGAGACTGGCAATGCAACACGAGAGTGGCGAGCGAGATTCCACAATGGAGAGAGGCGAAAATAGCAACAGTTTGTTATGGGGTACAATTAAATCAAACTATGATTATTACATTTAATAGCATTTAATTTGAATTAATAGTTTGCTACTATATACAATTTTCCCTTAAAAATTCTAGTCATATAAATGTTGTGATATACTTTGAATTATAGTAGTTTTTAAAAAAAATTCTCGTCTTCTGAAATTATACTTCACGTATTCTTTACGTCAAACTAATAGTGTGACTTTAATTTGAATTGAAAAAAAAGAAGAAGTGTGAAGTTTAAATATCTTGTCAGCTTCTTCAAAGTCATAATTCCTTCTCTTTTTCTTTTCTTTTTTTTCAAATTAAATTTCAAGGAATAAAACGTTTTTCATAATCAATTTTAAATTTCACCAATTATGTATCATTCATTGTATCCCTACTATTGTTTGTAGCGCATTTTCTCTTTGAAGGTTTTCTGCACTTAACATAAGAGCTACACATTATTCCTCCTAATAACTTGAGCTTATAAGATGATTTGCATACTTTAATAGTATGGTATGGTAACAAAAATCTCGAATTTGAGTTTTACCGTCAAATACGACTTAAAAATGTTAAACCACACATATAACGCTTATTAATCGCCTAACATGATTCAAAATGTTAGACCATACATAAGTTAGCGTAAGACATATTTGTGGAAACTTATGATAATATTAGATTCATTTGAATTCAATATTATTTTATAGAGTATATAAATTACATGGAAAAATATACCAAACACTTCTATTAGGATGAATCCATAACTTTAAAAGTATAGTAGATTCAATAAGAAAAACGTTAAAGAATTAAATTCATAGAACTTAAATCCTGAATCCTGCTTAAGATACATTAACGAAATCAAAATGTCCAAACACAAAAGTACATTTGTAAATCTTCTCCATTAAAAATATATCCTAAGATTGTATATTGTTTGAGTAAACAACCAGAGATAAGGGGGGGAAAAACGTACTATACAAAATTACACATCTACGTACACATTACAAAAAGATAAATTCAAACATCAAAAATTTAAATGCTAGTATTTGAAGAAACTTCAAGGAAAATTGAGAACAAAAGTGGGGATAATTGGCCAAAGAAGCTAGCTCTAGTGGTTGAGCATCTCCATCATTAATCGATAGGTTCAAGATTCAAGTCATGCTGAAGGATAAGTGGTCGGTAGGTTGAAGATTCAAGTCACGTATTGGAGGATAAGTGAGAACACTATTGATCCTGCTATATTGGCCAAAGAGAAATGACCTTGAAATTTGATCATCATGAATGCTAATTACCTCTTCGAACTTCGACTTCTTGAAAATGGATCTTTAATTCCACCCACAACCCAATTTTCTTTTGATATATCAGATGAAAATTTGTAGAAATCACTCCCATATCTCATCACTACTAAGCTTTTCTTCTTATTATTATTCTCCGTTCTTGATTTTTCATTCTTTCGTTGATCATCATCATTGTCGTTGTCTTTGTGTTTCTGCTCCAGCAAACCTTTTGCTGGAGCAGAACGACAACGCATAAGTAAAAGTGCGTTTGGTGGTGGAGCATCATTATGACCAAAAACAGAGTACTCTGTTTCCTCTGTTTTTTTGGCATGCTCTGTTTCCTCTGTTTTTTGGTTTTCTTGTAAAACCATAAACCACTTAGAGAAAACAGTTCTTGATGCTGTTTTCGCTTCATCATCATTTTCTTCTTCATCTTCCTGATCTTCGTCTTCACCATCAGAAGTGATAACATCTGTTTCATCAGTATGAAACGATCCAAAACATCGAAAATCAAATCTTATATTCCTCAAACATGTCAACAACTGCATCGCGTCTTTCTTGAATCCAACACCTTCCATATTCCAAACAAGTTTTTTCTTTTTTTGCTTCTTAACATGTAACTTCTCAATCTCTTCCATTACTGATTGCCAATTCTTGATCTTACATGTTTTCGGCTTGTGTCTTACTTTGATTTGTCCAGCACAAGTGACTTTTGGTGATGTTGGCTCAGAAATCTCAGTCCTTTTCCATAACATAGGACTAGCTTGGCCAGCAGGTCCAATACCTCTTGTGTTTGATCTTTTTAAATGGTGATGATGAGAGGCTGGACTTGGCATAAGTGTTAGATGAGCTCTTGAAGGAAAACAGACTAATAAATCTGTTGAAGGAGCTTCTTTACACTTTCTAATACCTTTCATGTTGAATGTTTGTTTGAGTTACTTGGATTTTTTTTTGAAATCTTGAGATTTGATGAACAATAAGAATAATGATGTTTGGTGTTCTTTTTTGTATTGAAATTGTGTTTGGAAGAGTGAAGTTTTTTTAAAAAGAAAAGTAAAGAGAGGAGGCAAAAGGCAGTGGACAGCTAGCTTTCTTTTCTTTACTTTTTTGTTTATTGCTTCTATCTTTACCATCTATTATAGGGTGCACTCTTGTTGGTTTCTCCGTGTATTGAGTTCTGACTAAATTTGAATTTGTGATGGAAAGTTTTATATCACAGGTTAAATGCTTAATCTGTAGTGGGGTCTTGATTAGATTTGAATTTGTGCTGAGAAGTTTCATATAATAAGTAAAGTATTCTTAGTAAATGTGACTTCATATTCAAAGCTTAAATTTGAAACTGTTGATTAAGAATGAAAAGTATTTACCATCAGAGGATCTAGAGGGATAGCGAAGGATTCAATCGAACTTCATTGGCAAAAAATTACACAACATATTTAAGGTACTTTTTATGCATATTTTGAACTTTCTAAACATAGTATAAGAGGTTGACTTAGTGGTTGAAGGGATTTAAAATTCAACTTGAGATTCTACGTTTAAATTTCAAGCACTATATTTTTATTTTTCGAACCCATTAGTAAAAATTCTGAATTCGCCGCGATTTGATACTCCACCATTACCGTTGGTACATGATGCATTTGCTACTATACCCTCATTTTGCTTTGTTTTGAAATGGGGTCACAAAGTGTGATCATCCCTTCTTTTTCTTTCTTGGCGTTTACTTTTTCATCAAACCCTTGCCAAACAAAGTGGAGTAATTCAAATATAGATAGATCCAATAAATAAAAGAACAAAAGAATTATTTATTATAATAAAGAGATAAAGAAGGAAAAAAATTGGATTCACCAGCTTTGTTTCATGATCTAATCATAACTTACAAATTAATTGTGATTTGTGAGACCATTGTCTGCCAAGTGCCAAGTTAGGCAAGGGTCATTCCATAGTGCTTGTGCCAACAAATAGTCCTACCAAATTCATTGCTTAAAATAAGTCTTGTCATCTATTTTATAGGAAGTTAGGAAATAAAATATAATACTAGCTAGCTAGATGATATTCTTTCTTATATGATTTTCTTTCTTTTTCAAAAATTATAAAAAATTACATTGTACAATTTGAAGAACTTAGCTTCTGGTTATCCAGGTGGGCTAACTCAGATCCATATAACTTTGTGATAAGGTGCGATTCATAGTCCTTTTTTATGCAGTTTGTGTATATATACACGTGATTGCACTATTAAACTAGTGACATGTATTTAATGATCCGACTAATTGTATGTTGAATAGATTCTTCAGAATTAAAAGGAAGTCATGAGGTTTTAATTAAATCCCTATACAAATACAATGCAAATAGAGCAAAACCAAATCTTTTTGGTTATACATGAAATGTTGCATCTTTGTCATTAAAAAGATTGTAGTGTAGAGAAAGAAGGTTCAAAAATATTTTAAGTCATATTTAAATTCTAAGTGTATATATATATAGGAAAAGGGAAAGGGAAAGATGGACAATGAAAAATCAAGAGACAATAGAACGTATTAAGTGGAGAACATTCTATTATGAGAGAAGAATTATAATTGATGTAGGGACATCTTACTTGAAGATTAGACTTCAATTTTGTTTGTGTACTTCTTCGAAGATGATGAAGACTTAAGGGGTTGTTTGATCGGGATGCGATAGACCATAATATTTCAAAAGATTATTTTATTCATTTTTTATATGAAATCATTTATTTCACTGTTATGATTCTGGGTCATTTGGTTGGTGGGATAAGATAGATGAAGATATCTCATGAGATTATTTTATTCATTTTCTATGTATAAAAATCTTATTTCACCATTTACACTAAAATAGTAGAATAAAATAATATTGAAACTATATAATACTCAACATGAAACACATGATAGAATATCTCAAATTATTACCCTTATTCGACCCACCACTCGTACTCAACTATACACTAAAAATAAAAAAGATTTAGTTACAAAAATAATTAATAATTAGTTGTTTTAACAAAAATAATTAATAATTGGTTGTTAAATAAGATTAACGATTATTTTTCTATGTTTGGTACGTATAATAGAAAGTTTCTATTGGAATTTCGGGGAAAACTTGTGATTGCTACTCTTGAAATGCGCACTAAATAAATTATGCTTGTGTGCAATAACTTGCAAATCACATAGAAAATATAAACTTTACAAGATAAATTTAATGCGATGAACTCGACTGAGAAAACATTTGAAGTATGAATCTGCTAGTGGAGGAAGACCTCCTAGGGATAAGAGACATGGGGGCTAAAGAGAGAGCCAAAAAAGGAGATTGATTGATGGATCTAAGCTAAACAACTAAGATTGAACCTACACCAAAATCTATAGACTGAATTAGGAGAGCAGAGGTTTAATTCTAGACCAAAAATGTGTTGTACGATAGTAATTTATATTAGCTGCTTATCTGATGCCTTTTTTTACGACTTTCGACCAAATTAAAGAAACTCTTGTTTAATCCACTATGCGGCACTGATAACATACAACACTTTCTTCTTTGAGGTTTAATGCCTTGTAATACCAAAATGCTTTCTATATAATTTTATTATGGATTAGAACTTTCTATTATTTGGCCCTAAATGAAATTCACGTAATATTATATTTGTATCATTTAAAAATTCAAAGGGAGGAAAATAAGAGAGCACTAATGTTAATTAAAATGTATAATAAAAGCCTAACTCAATCCCATCAATCATGTGAAATTATTAACACAACTAAGTTGGGACACTAACATACAAAATTAGCATCATAATTATTAGGGCGTTAAGTGATTAATGAGCTCAATTGCTCAACTTCCAGGTTCTTTTTCTTATGTTGGGACAATGTCACAGTTCAAGTACATGGTATATATATACGTACATATTTTTCATTTTTACTGAATGGATTTCACAAATTTATCCCTTTATGTTATCATCGAGCCTATAAGTGCATGTAAAATATGGACTTTTGTGATATGCTTTAAATATAAAGCTCTTCAATTGCCTTTCTTAATCCGATGTGAGATATTTGTATCTCTTTTTTTAAAGCTTGCCAAGTTAAAAGTCAATTCAAGCCCATAACATGCATCATCAGCTTTGATATCAATTCAAGCCCATAACATGCATTATCAGCTTTAGCCCAATATTTGTCCATTGGACTACACAATCATCGAGCCAAAAAACATGTACCATGTGACATTGACAAACTATACATTATAAAACACTTTATTAGTTATCTCTCACATTTAATTTTAAACTTATGTATTGTAATAATATGTTTTCATATGAAATTACAATCTATTCCTAATAAGTTTTTAATTACATTAATCCATTAAAAATTAAAAAAATCGGATAAAATAATTGAAGCTCGAATACATTAAATACTGGCTCGGATACATTAAAAACTAGTTCGGATATATTAAATACTGGCTCGGATACATTAATATGCGGCTCGGATACATTAAAGAAATAAGGAATTTTGGAGATTTTTAAAAGTAATAGGGGATAATGGAAATAAGTAAAACAAAATGTGTGTATTTCTGTAATTTGCGCTAATAATATTTGATGGGACAACAATCAACATTTACAATAAGTTATAAACTAATTAGAAGACACATGTTAAGTTATCCACTCTCATAGCTCAACATCCCATTTTTTCCCATGCAAATGCAACCACCTATTCCCATGCAAACTTAGCCATCACATTTTAGTCCATCTCTAAACTTACAACCCTAAACATCCTTCTTTCACCGCTCTCCATATTTCCATGGAAGAGCGGTCCCAAGCTCAACATGGTGACGATGAATTCCCCCGAAACCAAACAACATATGATCACGACGTTTCTAATACTCAATCACCACATTTTTCCTCAAGAACTTACGTTGTTCAAGTTCCAAAAGACCAAATCTATCGTGTCCCCCCACCAGAAAATGCTATCATCGTCGAGAATCATCGAAATAAGATCAACCAACAAGGAGGGAGTTCTCGATCTTCTTGTTGTTCTCGACGTTATATATGTATAGTTATAACGTTAGTAGTAGTTGGAATTATTATTGGTTTGGTAATAGGTCTTACCAAATTACTTACCAAGCATAATGATCCACAATTTAACGTGAAACAAGTCATAGTCAAGAAATTAAACAAAAATCATCGTGATAAACGTACTCATTATCAATATGACGTTACAATTGAAGCCAAGAACATGAATCAAATGTCAAGAATTTCGTATAATTATAAAGGGGACGGAGGTATTTCTTTGTATTTCAAGCAGAAGAATATTGCTCGTGGGGATTTTCCAGAATTAGAGCAATATCCTAAGAGCTTGATAGATTTCGAGGTTATACTTCGTAATGGAAACATCGATAAATTGCCTGAGGAGGTAGAAAGGAGTATGAATAGCACAAATTCGAAGAATCAACGTTTATATTTGTCTCTATCAATGGATGTGCCTATAGAATTTAAAGTTTGGGGAATAAGTTCAATGAATAAAAATATTAGGGTTTCTTGTAGTTTAATTGTGAATATATTAGCAAAAAATAGTCATGTAATCAATCAGAAATGTCTTAGCAAGTCATAGCTTAGCTTTATTAGGAGGTCACGAGTTTGAGCTGTGGAAACTGCATCTTTCAGAAATGCAAGACAAGATATGCGTACAATAGTGTACGTGATTTGGTCCTTTCCCGCCTTCTCGAACTCTGTGCATAACAGAAGCTTAGTGCTTTTTTAGACAGTCCGAAGAGAATTTCTTGTTTTTTCCAATAACACAGAATTTACTTTCCTTTTTTTTTCCTTGGCCTTTTTGTATTAGCTTGTACAACTTTATTGTAAGTTTTGATTTTTTTTTTACCCTACCTTTGTATAGCTGGCTGATGAGAAGTCCATTCTAAAATCTTAGTCTTTCTTACGATTTTAATATTCGATGTGTATTTCTGAAGAATCTCATTTTTTTAAATTATTTAATCATTTTAATTTACTAAGTTAAGTGTAATTAATCAGATCAATCAACATTTATCTCTTTTGATATAGTAACAAGAAGTTATTTGTAATAAGTGTAATTGCTGCCAAAATGCAACATATTTTCTTATATATTGTTTCACAATTGCATTTCTCTTACCTTCTACGTAGACAACTGATGAGGTACTTCAATTATACTATCAATATTCAATTTCTAGGTTTGTCATAAACCTAAATGGTTACTTTCAATTAGCTAAGTGTGGAAATCAATTTTTCCACATAAGAAGAACGAGATGAATTGACTTAGTCATACATTACTTTCAAATTAAATGATAATATGTCATTTTTTAAAATGAATTAATAAAAATAGTATCACATAAATACTAGTCTAGAAATGAAGTCCTCTTCTATAATTCTACCACTCAAACCTAATTAGTCGGGTCAATAAATTTTAAATAGTGAATACTTAAAAGGACCTTTTTTATTTTCACACTATATTATTTTAAGATTATAGTCTTGAAATGAAATTATAATTTCTAAACTAATGTCTAATTTGTGGATAAAATAATATCAAGAATAATAAGTTTATACCATCAATTCATCAATCAAGTATAATATAAACTTAATTCTGAATTACCCCACCTTATCTCGCCTGTTGAGCGCGATAATGGAAGGGGTGGGGGTGTGGGGTGGGGTGAGGTGGGAGGATTGAACCAATAAAATCAAAGAATAGATGTATATCCTTTTCACTTGATATTTCTAGAGATAGACATCGTCCCACTTGGGCATATATCCTTTTCGTGAACTTGAATGCAAGCTAAGCCCTTTCTAAAAATAGTGGCTACCTTTTCCCTCTCCCATTCACACATCATGTGGCCTTTGATTGGATATCAACAAACACACCAACAATTTTTAATCAAATAAACAAAATAGAATATGAACAAATTAAGAAAAGAGAGATTTTGAATCATTCTACCACTAATTTGGTGCCACCTTTTTTCTGTCCCTTTGGTGTTTTAGCCATTGTCTAAACTCCAAAGTCTAAATTTGGAATCTTTGAGTGGAAATTATGAAACTAATGATGACTTTTAGATGATCGTTCGAGTAGGAACAAGTTATCTCAAGATTAATTATTCTGAGATAAATTATTCTATCATGTATATAGGATAACTAATTATCACATCACTAAAATATAAATGGTGAAATAAATAATTTCAAGACTGCCTAATATACCTCCAACCAAACACAAAAATAAAATAGTCCTACATTTTATCTCTATGATTATTATATCTTAAGAGTCACTTCATATGAATGATTGTTTTGTGAAAAATAGTGAGTTAGGCTAGGAAAATTAGTGTAACTTTCACTACTAAAATCGACCCTAAAAGTGGTTTGAAAAAAACAAACCTCATAAGGTCGATATTTAAGTATAATTTTTTTTTCAACAAACTGATTTCCAGAGGTTGGTTTTCCTAACACAAATATCGATAAAACTTAAAACCGATCTCAGAAGGTTGGCAAATACACCCGACAAAATTTTATTCATGATAGTGACATCCTGAGGTCGATATTATTTTTTAAAAATCAAACTAATCAACCTCATAATTAGATCGATAATAATAATTTTTAAATAATTAAATTTATTTTACCTTTACATACTTCATTATGTTTAATCAATAAATTTTTAATAAAATATCTTAAAATAGCGATGAGCAAAATATGAGCGATCTAAAATATGACAATAAGGTTGTGAGAGAGTAATATAAACATAGTTCTACTAGGCGAAGCAGCCTGAATGTTGCACGGGGAATATACGTATTTTACAATTATAGAAATATTTTGGCATAAATCCAATTGTAATTTTCATATCCTTTTCTGTTTTTTCTTGTAAGAACTACTCTGACACAAATATTTATTTGTAAATTTTACTTGTTAAAAAATAGAATAAAAAATATGAGTTACAACTTACAACTAAAGAAATATAGATACAAAACAAAAATACAACATGAACTAAAAAAAAAAATCCACTGGCATAGCCTTGACAAAAAACATCAGCTGCCCAGTTTGGATCTTCACAATAAATCTAAGGACTAGCTATGCAATTACCAAAAATTCATTGCAATGGCTATCCCACTAATCTTATCCACCTAATTACACAATTAAATTTCTATAAACAAAATATTACAAAAGATAACATAATCATAATTACTAAATTTAACTATAGTAGTGAAGCCCAATTAAAAATCTCTTGAGATGGATCCTTGTGCAGCACGTAATTCTCTGAACACATGTCCCAAATTGAATCGAACGTATATTCCAAAATTGGCGATGACCCGGAACCCGATCCTGACCCTGACCCGGATCCATCACTTTCCGACCCGGCTTCCGCCGTTGTCTTGCTTTTGTTATCTTCTTTCTCCTCCACCACCATCATCATCGCCTTAGAAGACACTTTTCGCTTCTTTTTAATATCAATGCTCTTTCCTTGTGCCAAGTCTTGACAAATGGCCTGTAACTTAGCATCAACTGAGGAGTGAAGCGGCTTATACTCACCGAATTCACTCCCAATTAATGATCCGTTATGACGGAGATGGGGAAAATTCAAACGAGCAAAATCGCCTCTGAGCTTATAGGCCGCCTTGTCATATGCCAAGGCGGCCTCCTCAGCAGTATCAAATGTACCAAGCCAAAGCCGGGTTCTGTTCTTAGGCAATCGGATCTCTGCCACCCATTTCCCCCAATGGCGTTGTCTAACACCGCGGTATAGCTTTGGGGCTTTTGGGGGCGAGCCCGATTGCTTCATGGAAACCGGCTTTGGCCCCAAGTAAGATACATACTGATTATTATTCTGGAAAGTGACAGCTGGCATAATTTGCTGTGGTAGATAGATTTGGGCTTGTGTCAGTCCAATTGAGCATGGTTGCTCCGCTTCCACCAAGCCCGAAAACCCTTGTGAAAAAGTAGGAGTTATCGTGCTGGAAGTGGAGCAACCATTATCATAGTAGCTCATATTAGGTTGACTCGTTGAAGAAAATGATTCGTAAAGATATGAAGTTGACAAAGAAGAAGATTGTAAATCAAAAGAAGGAGAAACAGAAGGAGAAGGAGAAGAAGAAGAAGAAGCACTTTTAATAAAAGGTGCAAGTGCTTCCATAAGCTCACCACCAGAATTTGATGAGTTAAGATCTAAAAGTGTATTAGTCCAAAAATCCATTGTAGTAGTAGCCATAGCTAGATATACAACACACAAATTTTAATTAATTAATTAATTAAAAAAATTAAAATAAATCAACCTGTTTCTTATCAAATAAAAAGAACAGGTGATTAATTACAAAAAAAGTGGTCTTCAAATAACAACCCCTTTTTGTGTAGTGATTAAGAAGAAAATCAACTTTTTGAGGGACAACTAATAAGCCCTTTAAGTTGAAGAAAGATAGAAAGAATGAATAAATTCTACAACATTTAATGATAAATAAATCTCAATTCTGAAAACATCTGACTTTTTAAGAAATTAATGTCTAAAAGTTTGCATTTTCTTCAAAAAAAAAATTAATTTTTTTTAATAAAAAACACAAACCCAAAATCCAAGAATTGTTCTTGAAAGACAGATTGTTAACAGAAAGGGGATTAAAGAAGAGGGGGATTAAACAGAAGGGGGGAAATAAAATGAAAATTAAAGAAAACTTAAGAATTTTTAAAAATGTGATTAATTATTTTTTTGTTTGGTGTGTGTGGTGTGTGCAGGTGTGAGAAATAGATGAATTATCTCTCTCTCTCAGCCTCACTAGTTTTTGTTTGTGTGGCATTAATCTTCTCATTTGTCTCCTTTTATAGCCTCTTTTGTCTAGTGATTTTACATCTTTAACCCTCCTCGTTTCTCACACTTTTTCTTTTGAAAAAAAGAGAGCATAAATTAATCTATTTTAAAATAAATAATAATGGTTAGATCGTCCTTGTTATATGACGTGGGAGTGTTGGTCAGTTGGGAACTCATATGTTCAGAAGATCATAAGAAACATGTTGCGGAGATGAGAATGTTGAGATGGGTGTGTAGGCATACTAAGAGCGACAAAATTAGAGATGAGGTTATCCGAGAGAAGGTCGGGGTAGCCTCTGTGTGGCAGATAAGATGAGGGAAGTGAGACTGATATGGTTTGAGCATGTAATAAAGAGTTGGTGCGCGAACGCCCCAACAAGGAGATGCGAGAGGCTAGGTGTTGGGAATAAAGGGTAGAGGTAGGACGAAAAAGTATTGGAGAGAGGTGATTAGACAGGACATGACACAACTTCATATGGACATGACTCTATATAGGAAAGAGTGGAGAGGTCGCATATTAGGGTTATTGTTCTTTCTTGTAGATCTTACATTGCTTTTCTTATTAACTGTTATGCTTTCTTTATTGTTTTTTCCTTAATTCTTTAACTAATTGTGTTTGATGCAATTGCGCCAAGGATCTTTCAAGACACAACATCTTTACTTTCACGAGATAGTAGTGAGATTTACATACGCTCTACCCTCCCCAAATTCCACCTAATGAGATTTACAACCTTTTTACTTCTACGAGATAGCGATAAGTTTATGTACACTCTACCCTCTCCAGATCCCACCTAATGAGATTTTATTGGGTATCTTATTATTGGTATTGTTGTAGAAGTAGACTTAAAAAGAAAGTATGCCATAAAAATTGTAGGTTATATGAAAGGCAAACCAGGAGTCTTGGTGCAAGTATTGCATTTATCTTTGAGAAATTTATTTAATATAAATTATTAATATAGAATTCAATAACTTAAAAGAGTTAAAATAGTTAAATTTATTTATTTCAAAGTTTATCTCTGTCTCTCTAGATAATACTTATTCATAATTCATACAAATATTTATATTATACAAATAATATAAATTTATTATAGCCATATTATTATTCAATAAAGAAGATGATGCATGTTGATTAATTATGAATGAAATATGATGACAGGGAGTTGTTCGGATGGTAAGCACCCCTCACTTCTAATTCGAAAGTTACGAGTTCGAGTCACCAAAGGAGCAAAAGGGGTGGAAGCTCCTAAGGGAGAGTAAAAATAAAAAATAAAAAAAAATGAATGAAATTTTAGTAGTAATTTCTATGCACAGACGCAATACTAATTTTTATATCTATTGTTTGACGTTAATATAGGAAAGTCAGCAAGGAGTGTAGTATCTTTCTTATCGTCTAAGCATTCTTCAAACAAGGATATGTAACCAATAAGGTGGTGACATTTGGACAGATATTGACACGTGAGATTTCCTAACTTACACATGAATATTATTCACTTTATTATGGATTTTTAATATGAGGATTTAAGTACGGAAGGTTGTAGTAGGTAATTTCGTATTAGAAACGATCTTTTTATCTTTATAAGATAAGAATAACGTTATATACACATCATCTTTTTGAGATTCTATTTATAAAATTATATTAAATATATTATTGTTGTTGTTATCGTTGTATTATTTCAAAATTAATTAAAATATTTATTCCAACAAATACGTGTAATGTGTATCCAAACGCTATCTGAGGAGAATTTTGTCGAAGCCAATAATATAAATTTATTTAAGGGTTGTGGGGGTGTACATGGTCGGGTTGGTTCGGATTTTTCAAATATCAAACCAAATTATTTGTGTTGGATTTTTAAATCTATAAACCAAACCAAATCAATAAAACTCGGGTTTTTCAACCTCAGATTTTTTCAGGTTTTTTCGGGTTTTTCCGATAAAGTATTCATACAAACATATAATTTACTTGTACTTCAAATATTTCTTTAGTCCTACCAAAATACAACTATCTAAGGTGTTTCTTAAGAAAATAACACAAAATATGATAGGAGTAATGACACTAAAATATCCAACATAATAATAATAATAATAATAATAATAATAATAATAATAATAATAATAATGATGATGAAATTGTGTAAAACAAATATTGCAAACTAACAAGTCATAATGAAAATGATCATGATATATAAAATAAGTTTAATAAGTATTAGTTACATGGCTAAATATTAAAGGAAATTAAAATTAGATTATGTATTTGAATTGTCTAAACCAATGTCAAATCAAAGAACAAATATTCAATATTCTTGTCATTCTTAGTGTTGAAATTGATTTTCTTTTTGTATTAGTATTAATTGGATTTTGATTTAAACTTTATTATAATTACCAACACTGTAGACTATAATCTTTATTGAACCATTCAGAATTCTAAGTTTCAAACTTGAAATAATATATTAATAGATAAAAACTATGAAAAAGTATAAGAAATATTTAAAAATTATATCAAAGTAAATATTTTTATGTATAAAATAAAATTTTAAAATTATATATATAATGTCGGGTTGGTTTGGTCTCGGGTTGATTTTTTTTAGTTAAAATTAAACCAATCCAAAAATAGTTGGGTTTTTTTTTTTCAATACCAAACCAAATCAAACCAACTATTAATCGGAGTTTTTTTTCTTAATTTGACTCGATTTGCAATTTGATTCGATTTTCAATTCAATTTTGTACACCTCAAGACTTGTCATGAAGTTGGAAGAAGTTGGAAGAAGTGTGTGAATATTATATTTAAGAAAAATTAAAGTCAGAAGTTATTAAATTTAATAGGCAAGTGCAATGTTTGGACATTAATTTATGATACAATAAAAGAGGCAATACTCAAATCAATTACAATAATTTAATTGCAAAGGGTCATGGGGTTGTCACGTTATCATGTCTGCTCGTGGAAAATAGAAAGTGTCCAATTCAAAATATGCAATTATTTGAGGGCATTACGTAAAGCGAAGAATTAGCGATAAATAAAATTTTATAGCTAAATAAATTTTTTTTTTATTAATTGCATTTAGTTAAGAATCAACGATGAATTATTAAAAAAATTAAATTAGTTAAGAGTATTTTAATGACGTGTGACCTAAAAATAGCCAACAAATTTCGTAACTAATTAGGCTTTAACTTGTATTTAGCATTGACTTCATTTTGGTGACATGATTTTGTAAGTATTATTATCCTTAATAAGTATAAATAAATGGGGTTGATTGAGTTTTTTTTAACATAAATCACCAACAACCACAACCACATGATAATGATTATTTTTAATGAATGAAGTGATTAGCGATAATATTAACATCTTCTTCATGATTAGCATCTTATAACCACAAGTTATAAAGAATTAAAAATGCTTGTGGTAGTGTTGTGAGGACCTAACATTTGACATTTTTATGCTTTTATAATAAGGGAATTTAGTTGGTATTTATTCTAATCTCCACTTAATTAAACTCCTAATTTTCTACGTCAATTAAATATAATAAATATCATATTCATTTTGTTTCAATCATGAAGTCATAGAGGAATCCACAATAGGTTTAGCACGAATCCTTTGCTTTCAAATAAAACAATTTTTTTAATGGTTGATTAATTAAAATTTGCAAAAATTATTCTTTGAGAAAAGATAATAACTATAAATCTATAATATACTCAGTGTAATCCTAGTTAAGTATAAAAAGAGTATATTATAATTTATAAAAAAACATTATTCCTATCTCGTAGAAATAAAAAAATTATTCTCGATAAATCAGAAAATAATAATAATATCCTAATATTTTTTCTAATCCCACATTTGTTTCCACGTTAATGTATTGGTAAGTTAGTAAAATGGTTTGAAACATTAATTTTTGTTTACTTACTAAACATATAAATAAATTAAATATTTTCTATTCATAGCAAATACACCATGAGTTAACTAAGAAAAGTTTAAAGAGTTTTGTAACTTAGTATAAGGTGGTAAATCGGGCAGAATAGTCAAATTTTAATGCGGATATCGAACACCAAGTGAAAAATAAAAATAAAAATATAATGTGGTAAATATTTATATACTTGTTAGTAACTTAGAGCCTCAACTATCTTGATCATACGAGATTACTCCCTCTGCTTCAATTTGTTTAATCTATTTTCCTTTTTAATCTGTTAAAAAAGAATGATCCTTTTTTTTTATTATTATTATTAGCAACTCTTTAATTTCAACTTAGTATAAGGTGATAAATTGGACAGAATAGTCAAATTTTAATAAGGGTATCAGACACCAAGTGAAAAGCAAAATAAAAATATAGTGTGGTAAATATTTATAAATTTGTTAGTAACTTAATGCCTCATTATCCTAATTATACAGGATTACTCCCTCTGTTTCAATTTGTTTAATCTATTTTCCTTTTTAATCCGTTTAAAAAGAATGATTCTTTTTTTTTAATTATTAGCAACTCTTTAATTTCAACTTATCACCTAACATGTTTAAGATCGCTCTACTACATCATATTTTGATATATTTGACATATTTTTAATTTTACACCATAAAATTTAACACTCTTCTTTACTTTCTTAAAATTCCATGTCAAATCAAATACGTCAAACAAATTAAAATGAAAAATATTACTTTAAAAAAAAAGAGTAAATTACACAACATATATTTTTTTTCCAAGTTGCAATGGTCAACAACTCAGCATGGGTTTGGTGCATAGTATACATAAGGATATTGCGGCGGAGGCTACGGCGGAGATCAGGTGGCTGCGCCGTGCAAAACAGAATTTTCTCCCACGTGGACAGCTGAGCTTTAGTACAAAAATCATTGATTTGCGGCGCCACTACCTGGATTCAATCCCCCCTCTCACGTGACTACGAGTCGTGTAATAGCAGGTTAATTATCATTTTTAACGATCAAAACTAACTAATCCTCGATATGAACCTAGACATAAAAGAATTATTTTTTTAGGTT